TTGATGGGTAAATTTAGTATGAAGGGGGGGGGGGTGCACGGTAATATCAACTACTCACGTTAGGCCATATTAATAAAATATAAAATTCAACTGTGAGTAATTTGTGAATAAGGTTAAGACTTTTAAGTTTTAAAGAAAGTATTAATGGTACGCCTAACTTGAAGCCATTTTGAAGCGTATTTAAATACAAAAAAAAAAAAAAAAAAAGGATTTTGTCATGCTGGAACATGGTCTTGGAAATTGAAGTTGGGTTGACCCTCCCCCCCCCCCCCATCCCCCTTTTCCGGTGGTTGGTGGGGGTTGGGGTGGAGGGGTATAGGGAATTTTCCACGAGGCCATGTAACATAAAATGTAACTGGAAACAATTTCAAAACACTGTGCTGCTTAGGTCAATTTTTAATAGTGATACTTTAAACAAGTCTTTTTTTCGTTTGGTTTTAATCTGTTTTTTTAGTGCCTCCATTTTGCTTTTTTTTTCTAGGTTGCCTACAATGTACATCACATCTGATGTATACATGCTCATTCAATTGACGCATTACTGTTAAATTTTCATCCACCTACACTTCATGCTTTCTCATTTGCGCCCATTTTAACTCTGGCTGCTGCACTAGCTTGCACTCCTCTCCATCCCGATTTCCCCATTCATCCCAATCCTCCTTGCGCAAAAGACGTTGATCATCTTCTCTTCTAACGACCTTATCAACAAGGTCTAAACCATGTTACATTTGCCATCTTTAGGCAGTAGCCCTGAATGTGAATCTGCACAGTCTCTAGGACCTAATTGTGATTAATTAAATATCAATTTGAATAATTGGTTAAAATAACTGCCTATTGTTGAGTCATCAAACATAAAAAAGACTTCATTTTAGAAATCTACAAACATTTTTTAGCAGAAGGGAACGTCGATTTTTCCATTATAATCTCTGCAATGGAGTCGAGTTATCATGAAGATTTTTCTTGGTTAGGTCATGATTGCCTCAAGCGTATATGTTCATCGTTGAAGAAAAGACGCACAGCCCTTCTGAAAACAACCACTGCAAAGGGAATGGAAGCGCTGAGGATATTTCTTGATTGGCCATTTACCAGCAAGGTTACCAGCAAAGAGACAAAAGAAAGCTAAATCAGAGCTCTTGACGAACATTAAACAAAAGGCGAAACTTAAACTGGAGAGAGTGAAGAGAGAGCTTGCTGATACCAGCGAAAAACTGGGAAAGACTGAAGCCCGTTTTGCTGATACCACATGCAAACTTCAGTCAGTTTTTTCTCTATCTAGGAAAATGTGAGAAACCGCAAACATGTCCTTCAGACGCTGCACAGGAAACAAAACTCAATCCTCCTGTGGAAGAAAGCTACTCAAATGCTAGAAAAGAACTACATGCAGAGAAGCTTAGCAGGAAACGAAAGCAACAAGATGAAAAATTGAGGCAGCTTAGAAAGGAAAATATGAGACTCCGGAAACAACTGAAGCGAGCAAAGTCAAGTAAACAAAATGCATTTGCACTACACATGGTCTTGGCCAGGGCAATCGCAGCTACTGCAAAATGCCAATGAATACATCAAGTACTTGGAAAATGAACAACTAGTGAAACTTGACAAGAAAGATGACTTCATAGAAACAAGAGTTGGCAAAACATACACTGATACTGTGAGGGAAGTATCTTACTACCTACAAGACCTTGGAATGACAGAGAAGAACACAAGCGATGCTATCAAAACAGTTGATACAATCGGGCCACTTCCATCTGTTTCAACTCAAAATAGATTCTCCAGTGAGGCGTTGGCCCCAAAACAGGTAAATGAAATGATAGCTGAACACAATAATCTCACTATCAAATATCGTCGCTTTGCTCACGAAGTGACAAAAACCTCAAAATTTGACATAAGTTCATCCTGAGACCAATTGTGTGTCTTATTAAAAACGACTCCTGTACTAAGATTTGTTTGATTTACGGCACTTTTTTTTAATGAGGCTATTTTTTTAGTGCTGTTCTAGTATTTTATCATTAAAGAAAGGGACATGTAGCCAAAGTATGCACAATTTATTAATTAAAAATCACTACAGTGTTATTTTTCAACCACAGACTGGCACTTCCTGAAACAAATTATTCCCAAGTTATGTACATGTATGTCTTCTACATTTAGTTTCAACTGTTTGGCATGTCCCTTTCAGCACAGTATCATTATCCTGTGATTTGCACCAAACTCCTAAAGCGACATTTCTTGTTACTAACTACAATGTAATGTACAGTGTTGAAGGTAAGGTATAGCCAAATCAATTCAAACACATAAATGAAGAGATTGTAACGAACGCCAAACGGCACTTTTATTTTTCTGTTAAAACAATTTGTATTTTAAACCAGTAAATATTCTGCAGCATACAGAACATTGTAGTAAAATACATGTAAAACTCCATAAATTGATAATTAAAATTGATAAAATTGATAAATTCTGGCCTGCATTTGCAATTTTGTATCTAATAGAAAAAAAATTGTGAAGGTTCCCTATTCCATATAGGGTGAACGCTTGATACCATGTACAAAAACCCTCAGGAACTGGTCTGAGAAAAAAAAAGGGGTTTAAGCAAATGTCACAATTTTCTTCAACCTGCATTTCAAATTTAGGCCATTTTATTGCTTTCTGAGCACTAAAAAGTTTCAAAGATACAAAAAAACATAATTAAAATACATTTATATGGCATTTCATGTTTTTCGCATGCCAGTATGTATGCCATTGTCTGTGTTATGCAATTGATTGACAATTTTTTATAACCAAAATTCCTTAAACCTTTTCATTCACAGTTTATTTAATTGAATACCTTTTGTTATAATTCACAAAAGTTTTGTCAAAATGTAATTTATTTGATTCCACCCTGAAATAGTACCTAACATTTTTTACTCATGAATGACTTATACAATTAAATATTTTGCATATGGACCTCAAATGAAAGGCTGGGCAAAATGCAGTTGTTTGACCTTCGACCTAAAATGAGTTCACAGCTGATTTTCATGCTGGACAAACAACAGTTGGATACCAGTCACAAGCAAGATGCATCACACGAAAGATTTAAGCCTGCAAGTTTGCGGTTTTAAAATTATCCGTGTAACCGTATCTTTTGCGGTTACGGTTAAACGTACCTGATATTCAAAGAAAAACAAAGAAAAATATCTTATTTTCTTACAACGTACGAGTGAACGTCGGGAATTGTTAAAATACCATCGCAAACGACGCAAATAAATGTACCAAGAATGTACCAAGAATGGCCCCTGCCCCAGTACAATGCCGACAAACGATGCCAACGTGTATACATATATTTACTCCTGATGAGCACGTGGAAAGTGAATGTTTACGGTGATTCCCTTCCCCTGTAACATCTCAGCCACCAAAGTAGACTAGACAGTCCCGCCCCTGAATACAACCAATCATGATGCCCAGACGAGCATGTTGGAATTATTGTTTACGGTGATTACCCACTTCCTGATGCCCTATTTGCTCTCAGCCAACATCGTTGACAGCCCGTGCCCCCCCCCCCCCCAAAGTAATTATCTTCCAACCAATCACGATGTATTGCAAAAAGAGCCCAAGCACGCGGGACAATAATGCTTTGTGTTTATTCTTATTGACGGCCCAGGTCGATTTTTTTTCCGCGGTTGGGTTTTGTTAAGGATGGCCACGGCGATGGGCGATATTGGAGGATTATTTTTATTATTATTTCGTTAGGCTTCGGGAGAAACATCTTGTGGTGAACTTCGACACCGTTTTTTTACAAGAATTTGATTACCGGCGGAATGACATGGAATGACATGAAATGGAAAGCAGAATATTAAACATTGAATGGACAAGAAACATGTAGAGTAACATTGAGTAAATTGAGAAGAAAATGGCGAAACAACATTTTAATAATTTGACGAAATGGACAAATGTCAAGTGATGAAAGGTCGTACAACAATAAGCGGGCAAGTGGTGGAAGGCACAACATGTTTTAATAAACGGGCAAGTGATAAAAGGCCGAGCGACATTTAGTAATTAACGGCGAAAATTACATATTAAGGGAATAACAGTGTGAGGATCCGGTCTTCACTGCGTAATTATGACCAGGTTTGGGGATGACCGCTGTTAATGGACCTCGACTGCGTCTCGTTCCAAATTTCTGTAAATTTAGAGTAGATGTTACTGTTTTCGGATTTTTCTGTAAATCTACAAATTTGTTCCTGCCTACGTACAGTTTTCTCCATTCCTCTGTTTGGTTACGGAATATTCGCTGTTAAACTAAAATTATGTGCACGCACAAGGAACATCATTTTTTGAACAAGCCCCCCGTTTCGACTCTGTTAGAACACAGTCACATCGCTGTCGGTCAACAGAGAATCATCTTTTTTGTACAGGGTTCGGCCGTATCGCGTGATTTTTCTCTGGTAGGCGGTAGTAGTGCAACGTTACTGTGGCATAAACGCTGAAGGGTACCAGTATGTTGTCAAGGAAGGCGCGCGCGGGAGTCGGACTATAGCACTGATCTCTATATAAAGACTGGATAGCGGATATGCATACAACATTCACACAGTAGACTTTGCATATTGACCAATTCGCCCCCGGTCTCACGAAGATGGCCGCGTATATACAAACGTTCTACGCGTAAATACGCGCGCGTTGTATCAACAGTTGACGCGCATTTTGGTCACGTACACATATTATGATGTTCTAAAAGGGACACATTTCCGTAGTGATTATTATTTCAAAACGCCGAAAAAGTGATATTTGCGGCATTTTAGTAACCACGACATTAGAAAAACTGTAGTTAACCTTGGTCAGTGGTGGTGGTCAAAATATAAGTCAAGTGAACCGCGACGTTACAAAATAAATCATGCTGTCTATAAAAACGGCAACTTGTCCTTTGTAGATCACCAGCCGGTCTCACCAATATGGCGTCAAATTCGTACATTGTGCGGCTCTGTATTAGCTATCCAGTCTTTATATAGAGATCAGTGGACTATAGTGTTGTTTCGTATCGAGGACGCGTTGCTATGCGCCGCCATGACAGATGACACAATGGAGGCGGCGGCGCCGTGTACGTCTCGCCCACACTTATCAAGTTATGCGGAAAAACTTCAGGTTTGTAGTGGCTAATGTTTACTTGTTTAACAGGACTTTTGGTATCAGATGTTCTCGATTCTAAAGCACAAAGAAGTAGGCCTGTTGTTGCTTACAAATTGACATATTTTTTTACAATAAGAGTAAAACGAGTCTTGCAGTGTTGGTCCGGTCCGTAGTGCATGTAGTGAAAAATAAGAAGACTGCAGTGCAAGTACGCCGGCGCGTAGGCCGGACCTAGCGCCTATCCTGCCTATTTATACATGTACTACCATGACTTACTACGCTATGATCGGGCCGAATGTTCCCCATCAATATAAATAACGTGCTGCTAATGTTTCATTGGGGAAAAAAGGCCTTATTATTTGTGTGTGTGTGTGTGTGTTTTTTACAAACTAGGGCCTAGCAGCATGAATGCTAGTACTGGCCTATGCATGTCGCATGCCATGTATGTAGGGCTAGGGCCTAGGCCAGGGTGTAGCCCTATGACTATGTCATGTCAAGTTGTTAAGATATGAACATGAGTGATTGAAAACTTTTTAATTTCATCACCATTTAAATATACTTTGGTGCGAATGTTTGGCTCATATATTGTTATTTAAAATAAATACTTCATGAATCATGTGTCAGGGCCTAACGCCTAAGCCAGGCCTGTGCTTTATTTTTTATTCAATTGGGCCAAGGTTATTCAGGTCTAAAGTAAGGCCTATATTAAGGCCTATTATTTTGTTTTGCACATTATCAGAAACGTAGTGGCTATCGTTATGGCAGCCGTAATGCAATTTTCAACGGCTAATACTAACTAATACTAGTACTAGTGCTAGCCCATATCATTATTGCAAAAACACCATTGCAAATCAGATTTGTAACTGCCCATTGAACCAGATTGCTTTTTTTTAAGTGGACTTCATTTTCTACTGTGTAATCAGCAGTGGCTTTGAAGGATTTTTTTTAAAGGGAGATTCAGTTAATAGTCTGGTTCCAACAGTTAAAGACCCTAATATTAAAAACTATGTCAGGGAACCAGATAGGGGGTTGACGTGACGATAGCCACTGCATTGTAAAGATGTTAAATAGAACAAGTGCAATAAAATTAAAAATCAAATTGGGTACAAATGTTTGTCAATATGTAATGTAAATTTAGTAAGCCACGCATGAGCAAATCTAAGTGTTGGACAAGTTTCTGTGAAACTAAAACAAGTAAATGTAATTGATTATGCCCCTGAAATTTTGTTTGGAGCTGATTTTAAAAATTGATGTCATGCAAATGTCTATTGTATTGGCTGTGCATGTTGGTCAAATTTTTCCTCGAAATTAAGCAAGTGTATTTTAACTTTTTTTGTCAATAGATTGAAGACCCCCTAGCTTATGGACGCTACATTCGCAAGATCACAGACATAGGGGAGGATCCCTTCATACATATCAACAAAGGTTCAAAGACAAGCGGCTACAGTACACATTGGCGAGATCTTCCCGAAGTAACCTACAGGGACATAATTTTCTACCTTGTGGAAACCCATAGTTTTTATACCATCCAGCAAATGAGAGCGTACAAGGGAACCGATGCTTATCGTTTTGTATACAGTGGATGGGTAACGACTGTTCGATCAAAGAAATGTGATGACAGTAAAATTATTGTCACAGGTAAAGTTCGCCATTCACAGCAGCCCTCAAAAACACCTTGCTACTCCTGGGTGTGTACAACAGCGGATGGGATTGTGTTGTACGGACACTGCACATGTAAAGCAGGTTTAGGAGAAGTATGCAGTCACATTGCAGCTCTTCTCTTTTACATTGATGAAACTGTATTCCATAATACCAATGCTACAACAAACCAGGAGTGTTGCACCTCAAGGCTGTGCCAGTGGATTGTTCCAAAGCAGCTGGACAAACTTGAGTTGAAAATGGTGAAGGATATGGACTTCAGTAATCCCAAATCAAGGCATTCACAGTTAAAAGAGAGATGTGCAACACCAAGAAAAGAAGTGAAACAGCCCACAGAAGAAGAACAGTCGCAGTTCTTCAGAAGTATTGCTGCTTGCAATCAGACGTCAAAAGTTAAATGCAAACCAGCCATCCTTAGCCTGCAGGACGAGTTTGCTGAGGAGTACATGCCAAAGACGGATTCCCTCCCTCAAAATCTTCTTCAGCTTAGACAGTCGGACAAGTTGCAGACTAGTCTCGTCAGTCTCCAGGATGAGGCAGCGGAAATCATGACAACATTGAGGGTTACACCAGCTCAGGCTACAAACCTTCAATGTAGCACATGCGAACAAACTCAATCCAAGCTGTGGCACACTCACAGAGCGGGAAGAGTCACTGCCAGCAACATGCATGCAGCTACGCATACATCGGTTGACAAACCCAGTACAAGTCTTGTCAAACGTATCTGTTATCCTCATACCTTGCAGTTTTCATCCGATGCAACAGACTGGGGGAAGAACAAGGAAAAGGAGGCTCGAAACATGTACAAGGAACATCTCAAGAGTGAACACATCCATGTTAATGTTTCAGACTGTGGATTATTTATCCATCCAGACTTTCCACACCTAGGAGCAACCCCAGATGGCATTGTCGAGTGCGAGTGCTGTGGTATTGGGGTTTGTGAAGTAAAATGTCCGTATACTTGTAAAAACAATACAATATCAAGTGGGGTTGTGAAATGTCTGCAACGAGCTGAATCTGGTGATCTTTGCATTGACAAACGTCATCCATACTACTATCAAATCCAATGTCAGATTTTCCTGACGGAGGCGAAGTACTGTGATTTCATTGTGTGGACTAACAAGGATCTTCATATTGAACGGGTTTATCCAGATATACCATTTTGGAATGATGTAGTAGTGAAGGCCACATCTTTGTTCAAGAAGGTTTTGTTACCAGAGCTGATTGGTGCATACTGGACAAGGTCAGCACATCCTGAGGAATGAAACGACAATGTGACTTAGGATTTGCACTGCACTAGTAGTGTATAGTAATTGGGGATGCATGCCAATCAGTTTATGTTAACTTAACAACATGCATCAATTTGAGCCATTTGAGTTAAGAGATTTTATCCTCATGTGCCTCATGCATGATGACACATGATTAAGGCCCATAGGTGAAACATTTGAGTTTGCTTCTAACATATATATTTACTACTACACAAGGAAGTTTCAATTTTTTAATTTTAAAAGTCAGAGAATTTATGCTATGGCAAACAAAATTAAAGCCAATTTTTGTGGTGGAACCTAGTTTGCACACTATTAAAGACGAGGCAAGTGTATTTAGTGACCGGTTGGTCCAAGTAAGTGAAAGTGCTTGCATACTAGCCCAGTCTCACAAAACAACTTTTATTTTTGTGTGCTTGACTACACTTTTTTTTCATGAAAGTTATATTTAAAGGGACCAGGACATGAATGTTACTTAAGAACATTTTTGGCACCTTTTTACTCATCTAAAATGTTGAATGTATACAACAATATTTGACATCCCTTTTGTGTCAAATGTTATTTAAAAGTGACAATTTTTCCATGATTTTTCTAAGGCAAAATAAAAAAAAAACGTGTTTAGCGTCCTGCCTCTTTGACAAAAAGGAAGGAGGAGGCCCTTTTTTTTTTTTTTTTTTTTTTCAAAATGGCTGCCCGACACATTTTTCAAGACAACGCGGCCGGGCTATTTTTCAAGATGGTTACCAGCTTTTTTCGAAATGGCCGCCACTTGAACTCATTGACTATTTCCACAGCTTTATACACGGTATAAAAGTCTAAAAATACGATTTCTTTCGTCAGAGATCGTTAAAATTATCAATTTTTGTCTTTTAAAAAAAAAAAAAAAAAAAAAAAAAAGGAGGCGGCCTCTAAAAAGGAAGCGGGCGGGGACGCTAAACATGTTTTTTTTTTTTACTTCGCCTAACATCTGAAGGCGTTGTTGCAGTACATTAATTTCAGGAAAGCACTATTCAGTTTAGGGATTTTCTGTTCAAATTGTGCACCCAAAATGTGTGCATTGAAAACATTTTAGAGAAAACTTTGTTCACTGGCTTGTCATGTACTGAAATGACAATGAGCAAAGAAAAACTATGACAGCACAATATCGCAAAGTATATGTATTTGTAGTATGGTCATGTTCTTGTAATATTTCAAAATAAAATTGCCCATCAAAAATCTTTGAGCTGACATGGCTGAAAGCATTAATAACTCAAATATGAATGTTTTGTATGCTGGAAGCAAAACTAAGGAACATATTTATTCCATTTCATATGTATTATAAAATAATATAATAAATTATATGAATGTATATAATTGGATATAATAAACATATTAAAAATATAAGATGCATTTTACAGGATTGTACATGTTTTCTGTGTGTCTCTACCTAAACCTGTTTTCACTTACAACCTTTAAAGTGAGATGAGACTAATGAAACCAACCAAAGGGGGAATTATAAACACTAAAACCTAATCCGTGTTTTACTGAATGCCCATTTTTTAGTTGTTAATTGTACAGAATTTGCAGACTATTGGAAGGACCTGGTTTTTTGAGGAAAATAACCCCTACTCTACGTTATTCTGTGACAACAGACTCACACAGGTTAGTCAAGCTACAGCAGATCCTGGCAATTTTGTCTATGGGTGAAAGGGGGTCACTGGCCTTTTTTTCCAGTAGTGATAATTGAACAGGCCCTCCAAGTATTTGGTATTTCTGTCTCACTGTACCTATAACTCTTTCCACATGTATTCTCATGTAACTGCTGGTGAGTTATTCCAAGCTTACCACATGGTGGCGCTCTCCACAACTCATGAGGGCGCTCTTCATTGCTACCACAGATTCATGGTCCTTATTGATGACACATGTCTGTGTCCTAAATTTTTGACTCGTATTTTGACTCAGTATAATTCGATCATCCTTCCACCCCAGGACCCGAGGACAGAGGTAAAGAAAGATTGATTATTAGAGAACTTAATATTATTGCAGTTTTTGTGCTACATAAGTGGGATTTGGGTAAATTTAAGGCTAGATTTTCATTACATTATTTGCATTAGATAATTATCGCTAAGTGCACTTTCACTGTTAAGTTGACCTTTGACCTTACACTTTCGAGGGGTTATTGCTACTATTTTTGATGCACATTTTAGATTAGTGATTTTCCTTTATTTTAAGATACCTTGTATTCTAATTAGAGTTAGTTTTGTTTTTGCTTTGTTGCAGTTTTTACGTGAACTCTGCAATCGCCACAGTCATATTTGGTAATAAATAAGCCAGGAATATACAGTGTTGAACTTGAAACAGTGTTGTTAACTACAACCGCCACAGTAAAAACTCTTCTTGGGATAAGATGTCAGACACGGATGATATACAGCTTGGTGATTCGGCTTCAGTTCTCAGCCATGGCAGTCGCAGTTCGAGAGCCAGCTCAAGACACTCGAACACAGAGCTGCTTCGTATAACAGAGGAGCAGAAGAGAGCAGAGCTTACTGCCTGGTCTGCGGCTATCAATGAAGCACATGAGTTGGAGATATCAAGACGAACATTAGAAATGGAAAATCAACGACTCATGCAGCAGATAGAGATGTCACGACTGGAACTTCAAAGACGAGCGAATCAGCTGAGACTCCAGACAGAGATTAATGTGAGCAGCGCAAGACTTGAAGTTTTGGACAAGTTTGGATAAGCCAGAGTTGAATGATGTAAATGACCTCCCCCCAATAATTGATGGGCCATTTACCGAGGCAGAAGCTGAGAACGCACCAAACGATAGTCCACAACATCGTGCTCGCAAACTAGAACATGGAACTTTGAATACCTTTCGAGACACACAGAATGATGGTGACAATTTCCCTAAAACCCCACCCCCTATGTCTACTCCACCTACTGGAATGTCAGATTCATCTGACGCAGTTCTCCCCCCCACAGACCAGTGATGTACCCCGCAACGATGTGGCAAGTGCCATCACAGCACTGGCAGATGTGCTCACACACCGGGAGGAGAAATTGCCTAAGAAAGAACCAGAAATCTTCAAAGGCAGTGTATTCGACTTCCCCGTGTGGATGAATTCGTTTTCCGTTCTGGTAGAGCAGCGTTACACATCACCAATCGACCGCCTATACTATTTAGGCAGATACACGTCTGGTGAGGCCCGAGAGTGTATCAAAGGACTTCTCGCCTTGAACAGTGAGAACGCATACCAGAAAGCGAAGAAACTCCTGACTGAGCGGTACGGTAACAAGATGCTAGCTGCAAGCACCTATCGTGAGAAAATAAGCAAATGGCCGACCGTGAAGCAAGACGATGGAAAAGGACTGCGTAATCTCTCAGATTTCCTTTTCCAGTGCGAAACAGCCATGTCAACTCTGAGCCAGTTAAAGGTTCTTGACGACCCAGCCGAGCACAAGAAAATTATAGAGAAGCTACCGAGGCAGGTGCAGGGTCGTTGGCTTCGTTTTGTCGACCAGTGCATGTATGGCCAGAAGGATGCAGAGGAAGGTGACTACCCGCCCTTTGCCGAGCTGTGCAAATTCATCGCAAAGGAGGCTCGCATTGCCTGTAGCCCCTTTCACCAAAAACCGATGGACGAGAAGAGGGAGACAAAATTTGTCAAACCTACCAAGTCGGGAACAGCCACGACATTTGCCTCAAAGGCAGATGAGCTCACAACGAAGAAGAAGACTAGCCCCCTAAAGGGCAACACCCCCCCCCCTTCACCCAATGCAAACAAGGCATCAACATGTCCCCTCTGCAAGAGCCAACATCAACTCGATTCCTGTAGCAGTTTTGCAGCCATGAGCCTTAGTGAAAGGCATGACCTCATCAAGAAGAGCGGCCTTTGCTTTGGATGCCTCAAATGGGGTCACAGAATTCGCGAGTGTCGCCACAAGAAGCAGTGTGCAGTCTGTGGGCGCTCCCACCCTACTTTGCTGCACGACTTCTCCAAGTCCACTCCAGATGTGCAGACCAAAGATGACACCGATGACAAAGAAGTGGTTGTTGTTCAATCTACCACACATCGAGTGCAGACACTTGACGTCGGAGAAAATTGCTCACACGCTCTCATCGTTCCCGTCGTCGTTCATCACATCAAAGAACCCTCTGCGAAGGTGATAGTATACGCCCTATTAGATGAACATTCCGATTCTTGCTTCGTCTCAGATTGGACACTAGAAAGGCTCGGAATCGATGGAGAGGCAGTCCAGCTGAGTCTGTCTACAATATTAGCGAAGGGCACTATATCATCCAGAAAGGTGCATGGCCTAACTGTCAAGGGATTGTCCGAGGACACCGAGATACAATTACCAGGCGCCTACTCCAGAGAATCTATCAATGCAAACCGTGAGCAGATTCCGAAGTTGGACACCGTGAAGGAGTGGCCTCACTTGAAACGAGTCGCCAACCTGCTACCTCCCTACCTGAGTGAAACCGAGATCGGACTTTTGATTGGCTGCAATGCAACTCGCGCAATCAAGCCGAGAGATATCGTCCATGGAGAGGAAGATGCCCCATATGCAGTCAGAACAGCCCTTGGATGGGGAGTGATAGGAATGATGCGTCATGACAACGGTGGCAACAATGTTTGCAGAATTTCGAATGCATCAAAGGAGCAACAAGGCCACTTCGCCTTTCGCACCCAGGTGAAAGAAGTCAGCCCCCTCCAAGTCACAAAAATGTTCGAGATGGACTTCATCGGGAAAGACACCGAAGAAATGGTTTCCCACAATGACCGAAAGTTCATGCAGAAGATGAAGGATGGTATCCACAGACGTGATGATGGCCACTTTGAGATGCCCCTCCCACTCAAAACAGATGTCCAGCTCCCCAACAACAAGCCAGTAGCTCTGAAGCGGCTCAACAAGCAAAAAATGAAGATGTTGAGCAACCAAAAATATCGAGATGATTACAAGACCTTCATGGAAAACATCATCGAAAAGGGCTACGCAGAGAAGGTTCCGGACGAGGAACTTGACCTGGACAACAAGGCCGTGTGGTACATACCTCATCACGGGGTATACCATCCCAAGAAACCAAACAAGATCAGAGTCGTCTTCGACTGCAGTGCTGAATACGAGGGTGAAGTGTTGAATCGACACCTACTGCAGGGACCCGATATGACCAACAACCTTGTTGGGGTTCTTTGCCGATTTCGGAAGGACCACGTCGCCTTCACCTGTGACATCGAAGGCATGTTTCATCAAGTTGGCGTCAACGTGGAAGATCGCAACTACCTGAGATTCTTGTGGTGGCCAGGAGGTGACATGAACCAGTCCCCAAATGAATATCGAATGACGGTTCACTTGTTCGGCGCTACCTCTTCCCCAGCTTGTGCAAATTTTGCACTGAAGTGTGCTGCTGATGCATACGAAGATAGTTGTGGGACGGCGGCAGCCGACTTCATACGGAAGGACTTCTACGTCGATGATGGACTAAAGTCAGTCCCAACTTCCGATGAAGCCCTGAAGTTGATAGAAGACAGCAGACGGCTGTGTCAGAAGAGTGGATTTCACCTTCATAAGTTCATCTCCAATGACAAGGTGGTTGTGAATTCCATACCTCTCAGTGAACGAGCCAAGGATGTTTAGAACGTTGACGTGTTCTCAGAAGGCCTTCCCATCGAGCGTACTCTAGGTGTACAGTGGTGTGTTGAATCCGATGCTTTCCAGTTCAGAGTCCACTTCAACGACAAACCGCCCACTCGTCGCGGCATCATGTCGAGCGTCAGCTCCATATTTGATCCACTTGGTCTGGTAGCACCAGTCTTGCTTGTTGGAAAACGCATTCTCCAAACCTTGTGTCGTGATGGGTATGCATGGGACGACCCAATCTCAGAGGAAATCAGATCAGAGTGGGAGAAATGGAGGAACGACTTCCTGCATTTGGCATCACTGAATATCCCACGATGCTACAAGCCTGAGAAGTTCGATGTCATCAAGTCCGCAGAACTGCATCACTTCTCTGATGCCAGTACCGAAGGCTATGGTCAGTGTAGCTACTTGCGACTGATAGACGACAAAGGAAGTGTATGTACAACTCTGGTCATGGGAAAGTCCAGAGTAACTCCTTCGAAGCCAGTTACCATCCCTCGACTGGAACTTACAGCAGCCGTCATCTCGGTGAAAGTCAGTACTTTTCTCATGAAGGAACTAGAGTATAGCGATGTGACTCAGTTCTACTACACTGATAGCAGAGTCGTACTCGGGTATATTGCCAATGACAGCAAGAGGTTCCACATATTCGTCGCCAACCGCGTGCAGAAGATCAGAGATCACACCACACCTGAAGATTGGCGACATGTTGATACTAAAACTAACCCAGCAGATGCAGCTTCCCGAGGTCTTTCTGCCGAGTCGCTCATCAAGAGCAAACTCTGGTGGAGTGGTCCAGGTTTCCTGCAAGAAAGAGAAACCCCTCCACCCGACACTGAGCACGTGGAGCCAAGTTCAAACGACCCAGAGGTGAAGAAGGCATCTGCATTCAATGTCCACACTGAGGCCTCCAACTACCCGAGCATGCTTGAAAGATTCCAGTCCTACTCCAACTGGTTTCGCCTGAAACGTGCAGTAGCATTGTGCCAACGCTACATGAAGAAGCTTAGAAACATACAGACATATTCATGACGGCAGCCATATTTGGACATTCAAGCAGAATTAAGTTTTGGGGGCTAGGAAACCAGGTCAGTAATCTACCATCATGATGATTATCAAGTGAAAATCAGCCCAATTTCAATAATTCTTGGACCCCAGACCTATCTCCCCATATGGCTAGTGCCTGTGCATACTGCACTGCTAGACTGCCTACCTGAAATATGAGATGCATTCATCGTCGTTAAAGTTGTCCAAATCAAACGCTTCATAATCAAAGTATTTAAAGTCAGGATTGGTGGGCTTGTTGATGTCATACAGCAGCATAAATTCCACTTCATTGATGATATTTAAACAATAACTACCAACTAATGCTTCTCTGACTCGGTGGAGATTCGCCATGTCGACGTGCGCCGCAACGAAAGATGTTTATCCAGAATGACCTGCGACCCAGTAAATCTTGCACATGCGCAGTCTGAATACCGAACTCGTTTGGTCATGTGATCAATTACAAGTTCGTCGTTAAAATCGAAAAGAATTGTCCACAGAACGGAAACTTAGTACACGGGACGCGTCATGGTCATAAGTTTTACCGTCGTAGAGCCATCCGTCGTGTAAAACGAAAGCTCCCTATTATCACGCATTGAAGACCAGATCCTCACACTGTTATTCCCATTAATAAATACCTTTTTAACGAAATAAACATTAAAATGCTCCAATTTTGTGACTTTCTTTCGGCGATATTTCCAAACTTGTTTGTGTTCATGTTCATGGGCCATATTCTAATTTATGCGTGGTACCCTGTCTCTTCGATAAGCGTTGTTACCAACAGCCGGGCCCATGCTGTGTGTGCTGGACATTGCTGGACAACGCCTTCATTGCGTACGCGTACGAAGTCCAGGGTTTGGACTTCTGCTGCCGTAGCGAAAATATTTACAACAATATTGACAACAATGTTTTCATATTTTTACCTGATGGAGGAAACTGAAATTTCGTTTACACACTCCTCGTGTCCAGAATTACAAAGATTCTTGGCTATGGAAAGGTAAATATGTCGTTGGGCGAAGTGTTTAAAGAAAATAAATCTTAGATCTACGCTTTCGTAGTAAACATCCTTAGTATATCAGAAACTGCACTGCTGTATGTACTACACTGTAAAAAATTGCGTTATTTAACAGTTGTTTTTCTGATGAAATTTCTGTAAATTTAGAGTAGATGTTACTGTTTTCGGATTTTTCTGTAAATCTACAAATTTGTTCCCGCATACGTACAGTTTTCTCCATTCCTCTGTTGGGTTACGGAATATTCGCTGTTAAACTAAAATTCTGTGCACGCACAAGGAACATCATGTTTTGAACAAGCCCCCCCTTTCGACTCTGTTAGAACACAGTCACATCGGTGTCGGTCAACAGAGAATCATCTTTTTTGTACAGGGTTCGGCCGTATCGCGTGATTTTTCCCTGGTAGGCGGTAGTAGTGCAACGTTACTGTGGCATAAACGCTGAAGGGTACCAGTATGTTGTCAAGGAAGGCGCGCGCGGAAGTCGGACTTTACAGTATACACGGCCGTTCCATAACGAAAAAATGTGCGCGCCCTCAGTGTTGACGCCGCGTCCATTGTATTCTTACGCGGGGCGCGCTCAGTACTGTGGCTAGTCTATGTTTACGCGAGTGTTAAGGTCACATTTTCTCATTTGCATATGTCCATTTTGCTCAGTTTTCATCGGTCGTTGGAATATTTTGAACAAATATTATTGATCATATCATGAATATTTATATTATTAACCTTTTAAATGATCTCGGAGGTCAATCCTGCACGTAATGTGGAATTGTATGGGGTCTGCAAGCGCACAACACGCGCACGTTGTTGAGCACAAGGAGATGAAAAGGATGGTGACCGATGATCCCCCAAAAGTGATTATTTTATCAAATATTGAGTTTTCTTCGAAAAAGTTGCAAGGCAATCGTGGACAAGAAGCCTATTTCAAGACAATCAGGATCAATCAAGGTAAAAGACAGCGGGATGTTGTGTGATATTTGAGATTTTATCTGGCCATTTTTCATCGTGGGAAATTAACGGTTCGGTTAATCCCATACAAATACGTGTGTATCTCCATATTGAGTCGTTCGGCGAATGTGTTGCAAGTTGCACGTGAAATAAGTGTTCCATGCATGACACTTTACAGAAATGAATACTCACTTCAAAATGTTTTTTAAATTGTAGCTTGTAATACATTTATTTACAGTTATCATGGATATATTTTTTATTTAGGCGCAATTGCAGAATACCCCGCCACTCGATCTATCCACCTCGTAGCCGGCTACGAGGTCACGGCTGATTGACCTCAATAAACATTCTTAGCGCTACTTGTATGTATTATGCGTCATGCTCCATTGCACTCCCACTTCGTGACCGCGTAGCCGCCAACAGGGTAGTTGGTTTGGACTTTTTTTCAGCAACTCCCATTCATTTTGTGTTGCTTCGTTCTCAAGCATATTCAAGGGGACTCCCACTCCGTAGCCTCGTAGCCGCCAACAGGATGGTTGGTTTGGACTTTTTTTCAGCAACTCCCATTCATTTTGTGTTGCTTCGTTCTCAAATAGTGGACCCCCACTCAGTATCCGCGTAGCTGGCAATGGACTTGAATTGTTTCTTTTGCAGTGATTCCAACCTCGTAGCCAGTGATTTTAGGGGTGTATTTCCGAGTGGCGGGGTATTCTGCAATTACTCCTGGATATATTTCTTTGAATTGCTTTCAATGCACTGATGCAGTTCACGGCATTACGCCGTGATGTACACAATAACAATAATTACAAACAACACTGTTCAATGAACAGTAACCCCTTTTCGTTTTGAAAACATTTGTAGGCCTGCAGGCATGGCAGAAGATCAACTGTCAGTTAAGACTTATGGAACTGGAGGACATGGAGGAAGGAAAACAGAATGGATTGATGAATGAATATTGTGGCGGGAACCCCCCGGGCCAACCCAAGTCTGTCAGGATAAGTCTGACTCCTAGTGGGGTGAAGACAATCTTCCCAAACCAAGGCTCTTCCCTAGACGAGAGATCACTCAGAGCGACCTTCAAGGCTAAGGGTGCAGGTCCGTTTTGGTGGAAATCTACCGCCCGATTATGAATGAGTGTTGATTATTTATCTCTGTTAATTAATTGCACAATAAACCTGTAAACATAAACACCGGAAGCAGAATTGTCGGTAATCTCAAACAACAATGATCGTAATTTATTCAACAATAATCAAGTACAACAATTAGGATGTGATTCGGTGGGTTGTTTTATTAACAGGGTCCTTAGTTACTGGAGATAGCCCGCTGCTTGCCTATGCAACAACGAACACAGCATTAAGCACTAGACAACAATGGCAGCAATGAGCAACTATGCACAGCGCTAGGAATGAATCACCGAGTCAGCAATACACAGCGTTACAAGCACACAACAGCCGCTTAGCAATGTATACAGTCCGTTAGCAGGGTACTCGCTACGCCGTGTGTGTAAGCCCGAATTCAGCTACACACACCAGCGCAACCCCAGTACAGCTACACAGACTTTGTACACAAATCGCCTAAGCAATTATACACGCAGAGTACAAGTAATTTACCTACTTCTCTGTCCGCTGTCGCAGCTACGCTCTAGCCCGCTACCTCCAGACACCCGGCACTCAACACCTAAAACAGCTGAGCCCCGAACCTATACACTCAACCAGCTAGTGTCTCACCGTTTAATCAAAGCCTTCAGAACAAGCCGCTAGAACCAAACCGCTACACTTCCTGATCTCAAAACAGAACTAAACCCAAACTTCTAAACTTCTAAACCGCGCGCGCTTCCAGGCACGCATTTATATACCAGGTACATATGTAGACGCTACGTCATACAAAACATGTGCATGTACTAACCCTATGGGGGTTATTGACCAATCATGTACGCGCAGCAGCCCACGGAGCTCGTAAGCTCCGCCCGGTCACTGCACACAAGTGATTAAGCGTTAGTGCTATGGTATGACGTCACAACTAAACACTTTCCGCCACAATATGAAGGCAAGTATTATTTAATCAGCTAAAAGATACTTTAATATTAAATTATAAATGAAGGACTTCATGTATCACTCTCAATTCAGCCGGTGACTGTACTTAGCTGAGAAAAAACAAATGAAGGGAAATATCAAGAGTTCACAATAAGCACGTTCACGGCAACACACCGTCTGGCTTATGGGGGCAATTTAACACACGTTGCTGTTTATGCTTGGTCGATCAAAAACTTTTGCGTTTCCAAGCATGCCAAGTCATCATTCGTTCATTGCAAAATGTGCCCGCATTTAGCAGCGTCAGTATGTATGTTCTTTTTGCCCCGTTACCAAAGGTCCCACATTTTACCATGCATGTGATTATTCTAAAAACAAGCACAAAACATAACCTGAAATCCTTTTTCTTTAAATACAGTAATAAATATAATATGTACACGATAATGTCTCCAATCAAAGTCATACATTGTGTTGGGATGATCAGGCCAAATCCGAACCAATCTGAACTCTCCTACATGTAATCCGACCCGACTTGACAGAAATTCAAGCAAAAGCCAAAACCCACAAAACGCCTGAATATGGCGTTGGGCAAGTGTGTCTGCATTTGTTGGTGCCCGAACTCGCATGGCAATCAGCAACTCTGATGAAGAATCATAACGTACGGAATGGAGAAGACGCATAACATTACTGGTGGACCTACACTTTATAGACTGTGTGTGATAAACTGCAAACCACATGCACAGTCGCACAGTTGGTCGTAGCGGGTACAATAATTTTAACCCCAACTCCCTAGGCCTTTTTGCTAAGATGTAGCCTCAATCCTACGAATTCCTCCGTTATTTCTTGAATATGGTCCATGGAGAGGTGACCACTGCCTGAATCCTGCAAAATCCTCTAGCTATGACTGTCAATAGGCTGAGGCAGAGGCAGTGACATCCTGGAGCAGTGCGGAGGATTTCAAGTACACGTATAAGGCCATGTATAAAGTCTCCGGTTTTTGGTATGCGCGCACGTCGCCGTAGCCATGCACGTCGGCGAAATGAAAACGTTTTTTTTTTTTCAATGAAAGATGATGTCTCAAAACCGCCAAACACACTGGTTTGACTGGAATCCTGCTGCTGCACAATTTTAAAGTGTTTTTAGATGGGGTTATGATCGAGAATAAGCTTTATGTGGCCTCTCTGGTCTCCCATAATATTTGCACTAAGTTTAGTCGGGCACCATTTGCAGTCATCAGCCGACATTTGAAGCAAAAAAAACAGGTAAAAAAAAAAAAGCCGCGTCGCCGCACCACTCTTTGGGCAAGCTCCATACCAGAAACCGGAGACTTTTTTTTGGGCCTAATCAAGGACTAAATTTATGCATGGCTGCGCATAAACAACACAAGGTCCGGCACGACACCTTGACTCAGTGCGTTCTCCGAAATCAGCAATGCACTTTTGCCATGTAACCTCAATCCTGCAGATTCCTCCGATTTGCAAAAAAAGATTTTGGAGGATTTGGGATGGTTAGGGTTAATGATATTGCACCACCTACTTTTCCAAACTTTTAGGTGTTAACTGTGGGTTTTTTCACAGATAACTTAACCCAATCAAACCAAACCGAAAATTGCAAAAACCAACCCGACCTGACAGAGACGATGGGAAAAACCTGCCCAACCCGACCCAAACTTTTGGGTTGGATTTGCACAACATTAGCTAAAATCCCAATTTGGAATCCCCTAGCCCAAAATAGAAATATTGGTTTTATTCTTCTATTTTTTATTGTTTTCACATGTTACATTATTCTTCTATTTTTGATTTTTTCCACATGTGACCACTTTGGCTTGAACTTCTGGAGTTGTTGACAAGTGGTGGCGTTGCATCGTCGTCACGAGATGCTTCAAGCCATCCCGCATTCCCTGCACAACACGACCTGTTCTGTTAAATTCGGTGTGGATTAGCTCTCCCCCTTGCTCGATCAGTGGGCCAAATCCAACACCAAACCTGGACAGCTGTTCTGTAGCGTGGTTCTCCAATAAGTGTATCTTCGGAGTTATGCTGGATTCAGGGAAACTCTCTTGGTAATAACCATGAAGACCTTGATACACGTATCTGCAAATAATAGAAAATTGTATTACTCTGAGCCGGATTTAATATCGGTACTTCACAAGAAGACTGGAAAGTAATATCAAGTAGTTACCAATGCATTTCAAATCGTCGGGTGACAAAGCCCTCGCATGGTTTATCGCAAAATGTGTGTCAGCAAATTTGAGGAAAATATCCTCAAACTTCGACCCCACTAAAGCTGCTTCACGGATGAATTCTTGCTGACGTTTGAGTGGAATATCATCGTAAGTCGTATTCTGGAGAATTCTGCGTGGTTCGCTTGTGAGGTCGGCGATGACTTGAATCTGTAGGATAAATAGATAAAAGGTTTATGCCCTTCCTCAATTGTACGCACACCAAGTAAAATATGTGGACATTATTGTGTATGATTAACATCAAAATGCCAGTTTGTAGATGTTACCTGACAACACTTGTGAACATGATTACCAACGAAGGCTTTTCCATGGTACGCCTGCCGTTCAACATGATGTTTCTTCAACACCACATCAAGGCTACCAGCAAGTGGACCAGCACCGATCGGTAGTTCTGGTTTTTCATTGCCCTGTGACTCAACAATGGAAAGTATAAAGATTATCAGTGAGCGTAATGTTAATTATTTTTATTAAACAGCATATATGTCATAAGGTTTCATGTGTACACATTGTATGTTGTGTGCAATTGGTTGATGTCCACGATCGATCTATCATGCTGAGCTATCGGTTGATCATGCTTCCACCAGTCACAGTTTGTTTTTAAAAGGAAAGTCCGGGAGCAGCACAATCGAGCCATCACACCCAAAATGCTTGAATTTTAGTTTGACTGCCAAAACACTATTTAATGTATACGTGTCAGTACTGAATGCTAAGAAATGACATGAATTGGTGAGCAGAGCTTAAACTGAACATGTTTACGCGGAACTTCTCACTAGTTGCTGTAGTTCAAGACGAAAAGCGAAAGCCCTATTGGCCATCTGTTGAAACTTTTGATCAGGAGGAGGTGAAGGGGTAACTCTTCTTCAATCTGCTCCAGTTCATCTTCCTTGATGGCTTTGTCACGGGCAAGCTGTTTTTGACGGTTGAACTCCCTGGCAACCTTCTGGTCAAAATTTGTGGTACTTAATTCTACCTCGTCTTCATCAGCATGCTTGACCAGTAACTCGAAAATCTTCAAATCAAGCATGTGGCATCTTGCTTCGTACATATCAAAGAGCTTCTTGTAGATTCCAATATGTGAAGACTAGGGAGCACCACCTAAACAATATGCAAAAAGATAATGTACATGTACATGTAGATATTAATAAACTATGAAGTGTTTTTGCAGTTAAATGCAACAGTGCAGTCACCCATGCCATTGTACATGTACATGTACAGGTTTTTATTTTTTTTAGTGTGTACAGACAGTTACATACGTACATGTACATGTAGGACACCACAGTGTTTGTCCCCCTAATTTCGCTTAGTTCGTTCTACTTACATGATCAGTTGCAATGTCAATAATTGGCTTTGCTATGATGCTATGTGAGACATCCTTGGACCGAGCTTTCACGGAGCCATCTGCTTCATATGCCTTGTATGATTGCAGAATTGACTGCATGGTGCGTGGAGTGGCTGTTGCCCTCTCAGTGATGGGGAGCCTCATGTTGTCCTTAGATGTTGTGCAGTACAGACAGCAGTATCTTGCTACACAAACAATGAAAAGAATAGCAACAGATTGGTTCATGTACTGTGAAAGTGACATACCCTATGTCACTTTCTTACACGTGTCGTGACACGTGTAAATGGTATTTGTATATAATGATTATCTAACAACTGAATGTATCTGTATATAAAAATCAAAAATTATATAAAATAAACATGTCATATACAGGGCTTTCTTTTACCATCGCAGGTCAACAACTCGTAGTCTCCAAAAAGGAAAAGTCTCAATGTTTTGTCTCTGTAGAAAGAAGACACAATAGAATACAAACAAATAAATGAAAAGGCAAAATCCTGATACAATTATTACAGAACAGGCAAGTATAACTCTAAAACTGGTTCTTTGTGTTACATAATTTTTAAATGAAGAATTTATTTTACCTCCATTTGTGGCCAGTAAGTTGAGACACTTGTTCCAGAACAGGTGGAAGAACTGTTTGAAGGTTGGCAATTGAGTCGTTGGGCTCGAAACAAGCGAACACAACATTGATTTGCAACGAATTCGGGTAATGGGTGTTCACTATTTGGAAGGACAGTTTGAAGGATTTACCTCCCTTGTCTCCTCCCACTTTGATCCACACTTCATCCTTTGGGATCACCCCATCATGCCAGTTCAGAGACCCATACCAGTAAAGAAAATATTTATGTAGTGTGCAGTAGATTACATATTAGCAGTAAGTGTATATTCAGGAGGCTCAAAATGTACGTGTATACATTTTGTACATGTACATGTACTTGTACATGTATGTACATGCACATACACTACATGTACATGTACTAAAAACTTACAAGTCATGTCTGTCCAGATAGTCCAGGATCATTGAGCTTAGATTCTTGACGGTGACAAAGGGTACATCGCGTAGCTCCACACCATTGTGTCCAGAGGCTTTATCAGAATTGAAGACTAATGGAACAAGGCTTCCTCTGAGGTTGTCATTGAGCAGCACATTTTGTCGCTTTCGCATAGCTCTCTCTGATGAAAACGTAACTCCTATGCTGCCAAGATACATGTAAATTAAGTACATTGTAATTTAAATTTCGTTACATAGCACTCTGGCATAATACAAATGTCTATTTTCTGTGCATGTACAAATACATACATGTACATGTTCATTAGTTCATACTTATACATGTATAGGTACATGTACAATGTAGTGTACATGTTTATACTGGTACATGTACATGTACATGTACACGGAAAAAGACATGCGTGAATAATACAATTTGTATTTTTTATTATATGCTAATGATAGCCCGAAATGAAAGTGTGCATAAACATATGTACATAATGAAAATGTTTTACAAAGATATTCAAATACATGTAGTATTACTTATCCACATTGTACATTTATAAACTGTACCTGTACAAAGATTGTTACAAAAGTTTGTAACGAACCGGAGTTGTTCCTATGCTAACTGGCAGTCTCTCATCATGGCAATCGAAGTAGCTGGGTCATGGATTCCATCATTTGATGATCTGGTTGTAGATAAAGCTTTTCGTGAAGAGCTTTTTGGAATTTTCGGCACAAATGTTGGCTGTATTACAGGATGTTAAAAACTTGAGAAATTAATTAAATCTCTTTGATTACTTTTTTTAACATCCCTAGATTAATGTAAAATGAGGGCGCACCATTGATTACAAACTAATGTTCAAATTCATGTTAAAAATGTACCTTGTAAACAGCTACATGTAGTACTATTTATTGATTTGAAATGTTTTGTGTAGTGTTGTGTTTTGGGGGACGTTCGTAGGGGGTGTTCATGTTTGTGTTCCCTTTCGTTGTTTATGTATTAGCTTTAACCTTTTTTTTGCCAACCTTTGTATTTTACAACTGTTTTTAAATATGATGTTCACTGTGTTTTTCTGATTATTTTAGCTTGCGAACACTGGAAGGTAGCCTGGAACACCTATCCCAATGTTATTTGCACGTGTACATGTACACTTAGATTTTGAAGAAAAAAGGCTTACATGTACATGTAGGCATATTACAGTACCACTTAAAATCACAATTCATCAAATTAAAAAAATAACCAAAACAAAACAAAACAAGAATACATGTTGTGGTTTTACATGTACATACCCGTCCTGGTGTTTTCAAACGCACATCTGCTCTTTTCTGTGCACTAAGCTTTAACCATGTCCAGCGATCACTGACTTCTTCGATTTCTGTTGGAATAGGCTTGCCTCTGCTGTGTTCCACTGCAACTTGCTTGAGAAGGTTTGCTGCTCTTGTGATCTCTTCTCTACGTGATTCGTTGGTGCTCATGTGATTTTGTGTTTGCGTACTTGTACATAGGTCACAGTGGCATGGTGGTGTTTTTTTCTTTTCTGGACAAACATGGTCGGCCATTTTTGACAATTTACCTATTGTTCCACATGTTGTGCAAACCGTTGTTAAGGTGCTAAGCTGAAGCCTCAGAACTGTGGGTGATAACGTGACGTTGTCATGGCTCACTTTCCCTTGACATACGGGACAGGGGACAGTGTGACTGCGACTGAAAATAAACCACTGCTCTAAACATGAGTAGCAGTAGTTCTGTTCGCAGGGAGTTTGCACGGATGGGGAGCTTAGGATACACTGGCATATTGCACATATGAAAATGGTCTCCGCTGCTTTCTCTGTACCAAGAATGTCAAGATGCGGAGAAACTGTATACGCCGCGTCATTAGGCGCAAAGTTAAACGAGTAACAGTTCCCGCCGTTGTCGGTGCTCGGGTTCAGTTGGTCAACATTGTGAAGACCCTTTCCAGTTCGCTGTCTTTTTTTAGGACGACCCAAGGGCGGAAATCGCTCCTTGAACGTGGGGGGGGGGACAGGTTTTTTTTTTCTCCCCGAAATTATATTACTCACAAAAAGTCACAGGCTGAACGGCAGTGGCGTAGCTAGGATTTTTTCAGTAGTGGGGGGGGGGGGGGGGGGGGGGGGCGCTGGGGGGGGGGTCAAGCAGGGGCGTCAATCGCTTCTCAAAAGTGGGGGGGGGGGACATACCTTGATCATTACTGATGCAAGCGCGAAGCGCGAAGCGCTTACGGCGTGGGGTTCGGGGCCCGCTTAAGGGCCCCGAAAAAAAAATTGGATTCTAGATGTTCTGTGGTGTGACTTGAAGCAATTTCTTACGACTTTCTTCCATGCTTTAACTAATATTTTCTTGGCAAAAGACAATTATTTGAACATCGTTTTCGAGGTTGGAGACATTGAATCAGCTATCGGTATTCTGAGCTATTGGCGTGGGGTTCGGGGCCCGCTTATGGGCCCCGAAAAAATTGGATTTTCGATGCTCTGTGGTGTGATCTGAGGCAATTTCTTACCACTTTAACCAATATCTTAGCACAAAAGATAACAATTTACCGGTAAACATAATTTTCGAGGTTTTCTCAGCTAAAGGCATAAGAAAGTTTTTGTGAACATTGTTTTCGAGGTTGGAGTCATTGAATCAGCTACCAGAATTCTGAGCTATAGGCGTGGGGTTCGGGGCCCGCTTAAGGGCCCGAAAAATTTGGGATTCTAAATGCTCTGTGGTGCTATCTGAGGCAATTTCTGACCGCTTTAACCAATATTTTCTAAGCAAAAGATGCATCGTAGTACATAATAGGGCCCTGTAAATGAGACACGAGTTCAAAAATGGGGGGGGGGGGGGACATTTGATATTGTGTCCCCCACTCTTCAAAAGGTGTGGAAGGACATGTCCCCTGTCCCCCCAGGATTGACGCCTATGGCGTCATGTAGATCAGTGATATTTTTTTTAGAAACTCAAAATCTCAGTTGGGGGGGGGGGGCGACTAGGGGGGCGACAAGGTTTCATGGGGGCAGTCGCCCCCCCCCCACCCCCCCCCCCCCCCCCCCCCCCCCCCCCCCCCGGTGGCTACGCCACTGCTGAACGGAAAACTTTCCACTCGAAATATTGCCATGGGGTATGGCAGCCATAGCGAGAGACTTGAAATCAAGTCTGTAATGAGTGGTTTAATTTAATCGCGTCCGCCGCAAGGGCGGATCCAGAACACAGCTTTTTTAGGGGGGGCCAAAAAAAAATTTGGTCCCCCCCAAAAAGTGGGTCCAAAAAATTACGGGGTGGGGGTTTCGGGGCCCGCTTAAGGGCCCCGAAAAAAATTTGGATTCTAGATGCTCTGTGGTGCGATCTGAGGCAATTTCTTACCACTTTTACCATTTTGTTTTTTAGATAAAGATGGGGGTGTACTCATTGCCTGCCTTTATTGCGATGACACATAAAAAAAAATTGGTTTCTTTTTTTTATGGGGGGGGGGGGGGGTCATGGCCCCCTTGATAATGCAACAATATATTTCTAAACCTCATTGTGTGCATCGGGCATGTTGTAATTGCGGTTCTGTAACCTTAAAAATGGGCACAAACCGCGGACGAGTTCGTTTTCAGGGTGATTAGTTAAACTACAACAAACCACATGGGCCAAAAGGAGCTTACGTTTACAGTCGGCGCGCACTTCATTTTTGGAAGGGGATTTACAATTATTCGTAACAGTTTCAACTTCCATAATTACTTAAATATTACTCCTTTTATTCAAAGACAGTTGCAAAAGTACTAATATTATCTACAATGTTATACGCTTTTTTACTGTAATTTTAAAAACAGGACTGCCAAATAAAATGGAAACTTGAAAATGATCGTGTAATAATTAACCCCATATTTATAATGGTGTTTCTTCATAAGCCAGATGGGCTACTATTGGCCCTCGCTATGGAAACATCATGCATATGCATTGCAGTGGCTGCATATATGAATATTCGCTTGAAAACGTCTTAGTCAAGTCGTTAGACACAGACTGACCATGCCGCGCGTTAGTACATGACTTTTGCATGAATGGTTGTAGCGCTGACGTTGCATGAACGGCGGTGGTATGCGGATTTTGGTGCTGATCGATGACGGACAAAAACCACTATAGTCTAACGACTTGTCATCAAGTCTACCATAGCGATTGCGGGCCGGAGTGGGGCCGAAATAGGAGTAGCAAATTATATGACGTACGCAGGCAACATCGTGTATAACATATACCGCATGAACCAACACGCACGTAAAGTACATGTACGTGGGTAGGCTAGGCGTACAAGAGCCGTGGTCGATTAACCGACAAGAAAACCAAATTGGTTCTCAGCCACAACTAAACTAGCGACTTATCAAAGAGGCTTTTCCCTAAGACTCTGCCATGGTTGGTCACCCACCCATACCTACACATGAAAACATGGAGGGGACATTCGACATTGTGTCCCCCCTTACCAAATTCATGGGGGGGACGTGTCCCCCCTGTCCCCCCCCCCCCCCCCGGGATTTCCGCCCATGGGACGACCTCCGTTGAGTTCCTTTCTGTACAGTTCACAGGTAGTGCATATTCCAGTCCTTGAATGTTTTGACCAGTTAGTAGTGTTTTTGTAGCACATGAATTCAATTCCCTAGTTTGTTGTTTACAATGTGTCAAATTTCGGATACACCTCCAGTATAATTTATTTGGATGCCTTGTCGGATCATCTAGCCAGATGTTAACACTGTACAGTTTGTCTAATTCCTTTCTGTACCTTGCAGAGTCAACTGCTACGAATGAATTATTTGTATTCAATTTTGTGCACACACGGCACAACTTATCAAGTGCTAATTGTTGGAACTGTAATTGATTCATGACTGTGAAATTTCTCTAGGGTTGTCATTGTGTTACAGAATAAAGTACTTACAATGAAACACTAAACCACCGTTGTAGTAGAGCATCATTTTGTGTCCAACGTTACTGCATGCATGTCCTTGTTTCAGATTGCCGTACGGTACGAACACATAGCTATCTGTGTATTGTACAGTACATGTACTTTTGTATCTCGCGCCAAGTGTGTGTTTACATACGTGTACGCTGCATTCCCACGGAAAACCCGAACGTATGCCAAGTCGACTTGGGACAACTCGACCGGTGGGACACAACTCGACGGTCTATGCGTTGACAATGTTAGAGCGTCTACCCGGCGCGTGTTAGAGCGTTAGCTACCCGGTGCGGTCGTGTTTAAAAACGTTGTG